ATGGAGGGGGAAGAAGGGGAAGGCATGTGAGGAGCATAGTAATGTGGCCGTGAACAGCCTCTTTGCTGAGCATGAAGGGATGGAAACTCACGTTTGCATGAATTAAATTAACCTTGAATTTGGCTCAGACAAGAAGTCATTGGAAAGGGTACTAGGGAGGTGTGAAGAGCCTGATTTCAAAATTACAATCGAATCCACACCATGCACTTCACTGAGGAAGAAACAGACTCAGGGGAATGCATGTAGCCCAGGGTAAGCAAGATCAAGTCTAACCACTCCAGCTCAAGGAAAACAAAACTTAAACAAAACTTTCCAATCTGCATCTCTTCCTCTGTTCCTTGTCCTGGGGAAAAGCACCATCATACTGTCTCTTCACTTAATCTAGAAATCCTGGTATTATACTTAACCCTTTCTTCCTTGAGTCCCTGAATGTACTTAGTCTCCAACACTTTTACTGAAGTGCTTAAGGAGATTCCACTCCCTTACTTCCTCAGCAAATGTCCTTTCTTTCTATACTTACATCTGCTGCCTTAAGCAAGGTCCTTGTCATCTCTCATGCCTGGTCTCAGTCCCTTCAATCTGTTTTTAATGCTCATGTTCCGGTGATCTGGTCACATTGCTTCTCCTTGCTTGAACAGTTTAACGGCCTCTTCACCACCTTCAGGAAGATGTCCAGACATCCGAGTGCATTAATGATCTGCCACTGCCCACTTCTGCAGGCATCTAAGTAAGATTCACTTTCTTTTCACTTGATTGTCTTATGCTGAGTGGTCGCGGTTCCTCAGAGCCAGAGGCATCTCTTCCTCATTTTCCATGTGCCTGGATAGCCCACACTCAGCAGCAGTCATCTTGGGATGACCCCCCAGAGGACGCCGGGACCACCACATCAAAGGTCTTGAAGTTGCCGGGCACGTGGAGCATGTTGGGAATGATGCTCTTAGACTCATGCTACCTGCCCTCATTGATCTCCCAGAAAACACAGGACTTGCCTCTACCTCCACTCGTCCCTCAGTGCAAAACGATTTCTTCTTGACTTGGGGATCAATCCCAACAAAACAGCTCCTGGAAGAGGCAATATAGAAATGACAAATGTTTTAAAACATGGAGTCTGGATCAGTGCAAACTGGGGTTCAAATACTTATATACTATACAGCAGTGCAAACTTGGGCAAGCCTGAGCAAGTGATTTATTTTATCTGAAATTCAATTTTCTCAGCTACAAAATGGAGATAGGTGTAGTACCTACTTTGTTATGAGATCACCTACAGACAGATTTTGGCACAGTATCTGAAATATCATAAGCCTTCAGTAAAGTAACTATTATTGCCATTGTTATGAAGGGTGGTACTACGTTATACTCAAGTTTTAATTTTTCCTGCCACACAGCAGGGAGACAATAAATATTTGTTGAACCAATTCATGAATAAGCAACATAAAATCATTAGTTATAACCTGTGGCTCTTGAAGCACCATAATTGGGCTCACTTTCTACTTACCTCGTACAAAATTTTACAGAAAAGAATATGTGTGACATCTTCCAGTAGGAAAGAAAAAGCTTTCTCAACTGAAATAACCTGATAATTTGTCTTGTCATTTCTCCCTACAATTCAGAGGGACACACCTTTTTTATGATTAACAGGCATTTATTTTTAGGGATATCATTTGAGCAACAAGCAGAACAATGTCTCATCCCCTTTACTGGAATCTTCAGAGACCACAAGAACTGCCTGGCAAGGCCGTGGTCATTCCCACAGGTGATGGTTTGGCATTTGTCACTCACCTCAGCTTTCAGAGCCTGTAAGGAACAGGAAAAAAAATAAAACTCTTTTTTCCATCTGAGTTCAACATTCAGGAACACCTGTCACTATGTTGGTATAGCTTCTGGCTTTATTGAGAAATCTGTTGCTAAGACACAGCCTTAATTTGTTTGCACACTTTTCATATGAATGGTAGTTGTTAAATTCACCGAGAAAAACTCAGAGTTAAGAGAGGCAGGTTGGTGGAGGATTCGTGATGGTCGAGGAATAATCCTCAAACAATCATTTCATTGGTTCCTCTAGACTAGAGGCTTTCAGAACACAGTCCTGGGACCAGGGGCATCGGTACCCATGGGGACTGTTAGAAGTTCAAATGCCTGGGCCTAACCCAGACTGATTTGATTTGTAGAATTCGGGGGAGTAGCTCACAATCTGTACTTTAACAAGTCCTCCAACTTATCCTGACAAGCTTATTCTGACCGTTGATCGCATGTGAGACCCCCTGATCTAGACTCCAGATCCGAACAGTGGTTCTCAACCCTGGCTGTATGTTAGAATCACCTGGAAAACAGTTTAAAAATCCCATAGTCCTGGTATCACTGCAGACCAATTAAATCAAGGTCTCCGGAGGTGGCTCCCGGCATTGATAGTTTTAAAATCTCCTCGGGACATTACACTGCAGAGATGAGCTGCAGACTCAGTGGCCTGGGGATGTATTTATTGGATATAACAGAGTCCCACTCAAGTAACCCCAGTAGTAAGATACAGAGTTTTGAAGGAAGTAAGTCCAAAAGGTCTTACAGAAACTGGAAACTCCAGAGTCCCAGACAGTTCTTTCTGTCTCTCTTGTTTCTCTTTCTGTGGCCATGTTTCCTGTTTTCTGCTTTCCCCTGCGCATTTGCTTGATTACCCCACCCTTTACAAAACAACTTACTCTGCTTATCGCTGTGTCCACGCTTCCATTATTTGTCTGCTCTATAGTTTGACTTGTCATTGGACCAACTCCTTCCTCCCAATTCTACATGACATTTGAGCTTCAATGCCTACAACTCAGTGGTACTGGGAAGCTGGGGAGGTTCATTTTCTCATGAGATTTTGACTTAAAACTATGAATTAAGAATACCACATAAAATAAAATTATTTGCCTTTTGTACTGAAAATTATACTTAAAAAAAATACTTTCCTACTCATAGGGAATTTACAATGTAATTGAAAAATTCCCCCAAATATAATAGTTCTTTAGTATTGACAATTAAGAGAAAGAGGGGAAGGAGGTAAACATAGAGAACAATTTCAAGTCCTCTAGTCCTTAAAACTCTCATCTCACAGATGTCTGTCCTAAAACCTTCCTGCTCCCTTCTGATCAAGTCAGGGATTCTGTTTACAACAACTTTGATTCCAGAAATCGGCCCTGATGTCCATGAAGTCTTCCTGCCTCTGTTAGTCGCCCAACAGACCAACGCAGGTTTTCGTTCCAATTTGCTGTCAAAGACTTTGCCTTCCCCCTCTCAATGACCTTCTCCTATGCTGCCTGAGCAGACACTCCACTCATTTGTCCTTTCATTTTCCTTGTACACGTGTTTTTTTTTAGTGACTCCACGCATGCACCCTAGTTGTCCCAGGCCCCGTTCCTGCTGCCAACAGCTTCCTGGGTAATCAAGGAGCTCCAGGAGTTGATCATACACCAGAATGTAGGCCTCACCACATCTAAGTCTAAGTGCTTGGCTAACAACATCATTGAGAGCAGTCCATCTTGCTTCCACTGAGATAGTTCCAGAAATGAAAGTGTTTTAAAGTGTGGCACAGCATTGCAAGGCGGCAATAACCATGGAAAGTTATTTCTTGCCAGTAATAGATATTCAACAACTATTGAATTTAATATGGAGCTGGAATCGATGTCCCTATTGTCCCCTCCTTTTTTTTTTTTTTTTTTTTGGTCCTCCTCTGCTCTTTGACACGATAACAAATAGGTTTACGTGTCCCAAATGGCAAGAATTTGGAAATTTGGAGGGGATGCACTCAAGATCCCTTTGAGCCTCTCTTTTTTCCAAGATAAACATCTCCAGGGTCATTAGGTAGCATTAGCTGTTTTTGGTTTGCAGATATTCTTATTTCTCTTGGCTTTCTGGTTCCTCTGTGCTGAGGTATTGTAGTTTATTCTTAAATGCCACACTCATAAATGGAAAACACTATGTTAGATATAAATTGTCCAGCATGAGGTACATTGAACTGATTGTTCTCTTAATATATAGCCGTTTTACTTCTGCAGAGGCAATTTATGATTGGATTAATTAGATTTTTTTTTTTGGACATCATGGCCACTGATTCAGTCTGAACAAACTGCTGTTGAAAACCCTCAGACCTTTCATTTCAAATCTACTTCTTAGCCTCACATCTGTCCTTCATTGTGCCATTCCTTGAACCTAACTGTAGGATGTTACAATTATTTCCACTTAAGCGTTTCTATTCCTGCTCATTCTTTTCTTTTTGCCCCTTATATTTTCCACTCTTACTGGTTTACTCTGTTATCACTGGTCCTCAATTCTGTATAATCCGTAAATTTGACAGACACCTTTGCCCTTAGCTTAATACACAAAGGCTGCATTTGTAGAAACTAAGGAACAAATGTGAAGAAATATCTCATTAAAATATTAGGACTTCTCTCTCTTCAAAACACACAAATGTTTTGTAGCATATTTTCGTTTCAAATACACAGATCACAACCTTACAGCTTGACAAACTCTTGCGAAATGAACACACCAAGTAATCACCAACCAAATTAAGAAAAAGAACACAACGGGCTGCCCAGGTCACCGATGGCAGCCCCCAGTCAGGGCACACAACTGGGTGGCAGGTTAGGTCCCAGGTTGGGGTATGTATGAGAGGCCACCCATCAATGTTTCTCTCTCACATCAATGTTTCTCATTCTCTCTCTTCCCAAAAATTTAAAAAAAAAATTTTTTTTTAAAGCATTTGTTTCTATTTCCTCTTCTAGTTTTAACTCTGTTTCTTCTTCTGCCGTAAGTGTATTTCTCCCCATGGTGTTCAATCCCAAACCCCTTCCAATCTAACCTTTTCTCTGATCACTTGACCAACACAATTCGTAAGCAAAGCCACCAATGATGCCCCTATAGCTGGTTCTGCTTGGTAAACAGCATTTACCTGAGAAAGGTGGAATTTTAAATTCCTAAGACATCAATGGATGTGACATGGATTTGCTGTTTCCTTTGTTTGGCCTTTGCAGGTCTTCTGTGACTTCCATGGCCACTCCCAAAAGAAGAATGTGTTTGTCTACGGCTGCAGCATCAAGGAGACCCTGTGGCAGGCAGAGGCCGCTGTGGGCGCATCTGCTGTCTCGGAGGATGTCAGCTACAGGGTGAGTCTGAAGTACCTATCTTACTAGAGAGAAGGAAAAAAAGCCAAAGTGATACCTATAAAATAGGAAATGTACAGAAAACAGAGAATCCATGAAGCCAAGTTTGGCTTCTGGAAATGTAACAAAAACAATAACCCTCTAGTTAGATTAAGAAGAGAAAAAAGATACAAGTTGCCAAAATTAGGAAAGAAAGGTGGCATCGCTACCAACCTTCCAAAATATATAAGGATACTGTTAATTAACATACATGCCAACAAATGGATAAATGCTGAAGAAGACACAAATTACCAAAACTGACTCAAGAAGACCTACTATCAAATACAACATGTTTTTAGTATAATGAATAAATTATATCAGTAATTAAAAATCCTCTCACAAATAAAACGTGGCCAAATGATTTGTTGGTGAATTCTATCAAAATCATAAAGAAATAAATACTACCGATTGAAACAAATTCTTTCAAAAAAGCCTAAACACTTCCCAACTCATTTTGAGTCCTATATTACTCTGAAATTAAAGCCAGAAAAGATATCAAAAGAAAATAAAGCCAATATCTCTCACAAACAGCTATCCAAAAATCCTTTACAAAATATTAGCAAGTCAAGCACAGCAGTGTGCAAAAATCATTATCCACTGTGACGGAGTGGGGTGTATGTCATGAATGTAAGATTATGTTAACATAAAAAAAATCAAATGCTCTTCTACTCCTTGTGAATAAACAAGTGGAAAAAAACCACATCATTATCTCAACAGACTGAAAAAAGCATTTCACAAAGTTAAATGTTCATTCAAAATAAAATCTCACAACAAACTAGGACCAGAAAGGGAATTCTTCCACCTGGAATTTGGGATCCAGAAATGTCTCATAGCCACCATCACACTTCATGGTGGAAGGCTGAATGCTTTCCCCATGAGATCAGGAACAAGGCAGGAATGCTTCCGCCATTTCTATTCTTTTTACTGGATATTCTAGTTAGTTCAATATGACACAGAAATATCAAAGAGAAAAAGATTGGAAAAAAGGTAGAACTGCCATTATTCACAGGTGATACATATAGTATGTTATGTAGAAAATTCCTAGTGATCTAGAAAATAAACTGCTAGAACTAATAAGCAAGTTTAGTAAGGTCCATATAAAAGTTGATTTTATTTGTATACTAGCAATGAACATCCTAGAAATGAAATTAAGAAAAAAAATTCATTTGCCATAATAGTGAAGAGATTAAATCAATTAGGAATAAACAGAAAAATACACTGAAAACTACAAAACATTATCGAGATGAATTAAAAAAGACCTAAATATATAGAGAAATATACCAAGTTTGTGGATGGAGACACAATGTTCTAAAGGTGATTGTTCTTAGTGAATTTTTCCATAGATTGAATGCAATTTGTATCAAAATCTCAGCAGGCATTTTTGCTGATATTATGCAAAAAGGCAAAAGAATTAGAAAAGCCGAACAGATTTTATAAGAGAATAATAAAGATTTACTTTACATGATTTTAATGCTTACACGATTCAAAACTATCACCACAGTCATCTCTTTTGAATTTGGGAAACCAGACAGGACTGACAAGAGTCTGCAAAAAAGCAGATGAATTAAAGTGCTTTTCAGGCTTCTAGAATGTGCCTTGGAACCAGAACTGTTGGATGAGAACCCTCCCCGCCTGTGTTAGGGCTGTGCCCAACCCCGCTGCATTGGGCAGATGGGATTCGGGGTCTGTTGGGATGCAGAGGACTCATTCTCAGGTCCTGGTCTGTGGGGAGACCAGGCTAAATGCCAGATCTTGGGTTGTGCCCTAGACGTGCGTCCTGTCATTTATTCCTTGTGAGAACTCTCACAGGGAGATGTGAATCCTCCCATTTTATAGGGGAGGAGCCCCAGGGCTTGGGGAGGCTGAGGAGTTCCTCTGGAGTCACTCAGCAAGTCCCTGGGGGACAGGACCCTCAGCCCTGACCCATCTGGCCCCTTGGCCCCTGTTCTGCGATGTGTGGCACGGAGTGTCCAGGCAGCGTTCCGAATGGCAGTTCCCGCTGTCTGCTTCTGAACAGAACAGTCTTTAGTAAGCATTCAGAAGGCCACTTTTAGCCACTGAAAAAGAGCCACAAGAAGAAGTGAGTTTTTATTGGGATAGGTATATAATAATTATAAATAATAATATATTGGCTGCTTATTGCACATTGAACATATGACACCTTATTTAAGCCTCTTACACTCCTGTGGGACAGTAAGACCTCACTTAAGAAGCCGTTTTTGCTGTTGTTCAGCCCATGTGATCTGAATTAAACCTAACGTCAGGGTGGAAACTTGGGCTTTGTCCTTACTAGCTCCAAGACCACTGGAGGAATAAAAGATACGTACCGTGTCTGGCCTCTATATCCTGAAGTAATAACAGCATTTGCCTTCAAGACTTGTGACGATTAAATGAGTGAAATGCATGTAGAATGCCTTGTAAGCGTTCAGGGAGAGATATTTATTGTACATTTCAAGTTTGGGAAACTGAGATTAAGCTTAAGGGCGGGGAAGAGTTGAAGGTCCCACTCCACTGTTTCCCACCCAAGCCGAGGGAGCTCAGGGAGAGTGAAGCAAAGCCCCGTTCCTGGGGAGAGCTCATCAGTCTCCTCCTCCTTCACCAGAGCCAGCCCCGCCAGCACCCTCCATCACCCAGCTGTCAGCATCTCCCTCTCCCACTCGGACAGAGATCGGTTTGTGGGGAATCACAAGGGAAGTGGGATGCGGACTTCGGTGTAAAGGCCCTAGTTCTGGAGTCAGTTATTGAGTGAACGTGTAGCGGTGGCTGTGAGATGTAAGCGGAGTCCGTCAGGGGCACCTTGTAAATCCCACATCCTCCGGGCTCCAGGGCAGGGATCCCGGCCTGTAAAGCTCTCCAGCGTGCACGCCGCTCATTTGAATGTGTGGTCGTTCGGACAGTTGGGCAGGGCTGTTCCAGCTGAGAAAACCAGGTTCACTTGACTAAGAAAGAAGAGATCATTTAAACGATGTCAGATTAAACGTTTTCGAATGGGTCAAATGCTGATAAAATACAATTATGTTTAAGTATTCCTTTTTTAAATTAAACATTACATTTTTTCCTTTTTCTTTATTTTTATTGTTGGCCCTATTGCAGATGTCCCTATTTCCGCCCGCCTTTTCCCCTTCCTCCCAGCACCTCCCCGCTTCCCTCTAGCCATCACCGCACTGTTGTCTGTGTCCATGGGTGACGCTTTTCTGTACTTTGACTAATCCCTTCCCCTTCCTTCATCCAGTCCCCCCGGCCCCCTCCCCTCTGTCAGCTGTCTGTCTGTTCCATGTGTCCGTGCCTCTGTTTCTGTTTTCTTCATCAGTTTATTTTGTTCATTAGATTTGACATATAAGTGAGATCATATGGTACTTGCCTTTCTGTGACTGGCTTATTTCACTTGGCTTAATAGTCTCCAGGTCCATCTGTGCTGTCACAAAGAGGCAGTATCTGTGAATAGTTTATTTATGTCTATTAACCAGTCCCCTCGGGGTCTAGATGTACCTTCTATGAGCAGCGTGGCTTCACGTGAAGAGATTTCATGTGAACAAGACAAAGACCTACCCTCATGGAGCTTCTAGGCTACAAGATAGAAAATAGACAACTGGTTACATAAGCAACAATTGAGTGGTAGCTGTGGTGAGCATTTTGAAGGGGAGCTGGGGTGGTGGGCTCACAGGAGAGGGGGACAAGAGTGGACAGAAGAAATCAATTAGGAGGCAGTTGCAGAAATCAGATGAGGACACTGGCATTTTATTTCCCTTCTTCAAATGATGCTGTAGGCTTAGATGATGTGGGAACTTGGAGATCGTAGTAAATTATAGTAATAATTATGTTAATATATACTTATCTGTCATATGTAATTTATAATATAATTAACAATTGCATTAATCTTTATATTAATATAATTAACAATTATATTAACCTTTATATTACTATAATTAACAATTTTATTAATCTATATATTAATGTAATTAACAGTTCTTTTAAGCATGAGGACAGGAAGAACCAGAGATATTAAGAGCTTTCCTCAAAGTCCTAGAAATGAACAAAACTCCATTTCTTTAAAAATAATTCCTTAATTTATGTGGTCATTAGTATGTTCTCCTCCTCTACCTTCTTCCTTCAATTTGTCCAAAAACCTGAAGTTTCACTGTTTGTTAGCTAATGCATATAATTTTTATATTACATGCTAGTTTGTGGAGATTCTGTCAACGCTGAAGTGAAAGAGCCTGTCTTGTTATTGTCACAAATGTTTTGGGCTGTCCAGGTGTGTAGCACTTCTGCTAACCCAAAGCTTTGGTGTACGAACTCAGAATCATCGTCCTTGGGGGCAAGGGGAGGTCTGGTGACTCCAAGCTCCTCTCTGTCATTCAGGGAGTGGCAAGGGTGTACAGATACCTTCTTTTTTATTTTCTTTGTTGATTTTAGAGAGAGAAGAAGGAGGTGGGGGGAGAGAGAGAGGGAGGGAGGGAGAGAAAGAGAGGAAGAGAAACATGGATTTGTTGTTCCACTTATGTATGCATTCAGTGGTTGCTTCTTGTATGTGCACTGACTGGGGATTGAACCTGCAACCTTGGCATATGGGGAGGATGCTCTAACCAACTGAGCTACCCAGCCAGGCCAGGTGCCTTCTAAATAGAGATTTAGTGGTCTCACCTAAAGCTTTCTACCTTAGGGAGGGAAAAAATAGTATACATGAATGCAAAAAAAAAAAATAATAGATTTTTAGGAGTTTTAAATTGGTCCAGCTTGAGATTTATAGACCAAAGGATGAGAGTGAAGAGTTCATTCTGGCAGTTACATTCTCTCAGAAAACAAGTGTTTCTCTTCAAGAGTCATCAAGAGCCTGTACGATTGAGATAAGTGCACAGTTCTCTGTTCCACCCTTAGAGCTAGAAAATAGTGAGGCCATAACTGCCGGGTTGCTGTGAAGTCTGTGGCGTTTCACTGGGCTCGGGTCTGCAACATATGGGACTGAAAGCATGTTTGCAACATTGTGCACAACGATGCAGACACATAAAATTGAAAGATCATAGTCTTTGGAGTTGGCCAGGCCACTTGGTAGCTGTTTCTTTCTAGCCCTTCTGAGCCTCAGCTACCTCATCTTTAAAATGATTTTTAAAATGATATTCACTTCTTAGTGTTGATACAAGATTTGTGGTAGCACATGTTAAGTGTCTGATATATGGAGGTGCATAATAAATGTTGAGAAGTTAGCTTTTATGATGCATAGCCCCAATCACCTGCAGCTCATGGTCATTTGATTTTTTGGTTTTTTATTGTAGACTCTTCCCAAAATCCTCGATAAGCTGGCACCAGCCTTCACAATGAGCAGCTGCAGCTTCGTCGTGGAAAAATCTCGCGCCTCCACCGCCCGAGTAGTGGTGTGGAGGGAGATGGGGGTGTCCCGAAGCTACACCATGGAAAGCAGCTACTGTGGCTGCAACCAGGGCCCCTACAAGGTAGGTGCGGCTGCGGGACGCCCAGTCTTCGCGTCCAGCAGCATGGCACTCCCACGGCGGGGGGCGCCATCTGGCCCCACTCTCTGATTTCGCAGAAGAACTAGTTCAGTGATTGCCTTCACTGGCAGCACCGTCTGTGTAGATTCTGGAAGCACACCGTGCACGCCTGCTGATTTTGTTTGTCAATCATCTGCCTCTGCCAGCAAGCAGCAGGGAGCCTCCTGCAGACATGCACCCCCAGCTTTTATGGAGCCTCCGCCTGGTGCTGTTACATGCATGGGAACATTTTACAAGAAGTAGGCTGACTAGTCCCCCATGCATCATAAAGGGTGTAGGTCAGCACGTAGATGTTGTCGGTGTTTTTGAGTATTGTGTTACTCTGTCTTCTGCGTTCATCGCGATCGGCAGTTCTCTGTGACCTTCTGTCACCAGGGCACTGAGAAGTGTGTGCGTGATGTGCGTCTCCCCCAGACGAGTGGCTCTCAGATTTGTGGACTAGTGTCGAGGGGAAGGGCTCGTATCAATCACATCCCTTCTACAGTTCTGTTAACGGCACAAGCAGCCAGGGCACCGCTGCAGCTGGCTGTTCCAGCCGCTCTGCCCGCTTCCCTGCGAGAGGAGTGTGAACAAGGGACGTTGCGGCAGTGCCAGCATGATAGGCTTTTTAAAAATTTGTTAGGCAAACCAACGGGCTGCTCCTTGCTGACTTCCATTCAACCCCCAGAGTACCTGGAGTTCACCTGCATTGAAGCCCGTTGTGCTGGCTTGGTTACTCTCCTGGGACAGCCAGGAGACTTTTGGCGTCGAAGCAGCCATGTGCTTGTGCAAATCTGTTCGCTCTCAAAGGGCCTTGGGGAGCGGCAGGCGATGAACACAATCGAACTTCCCACCTGGCCTCAGGGTATTTTTGACCCAGAGCTACCGAACGCCCAGTTGGAGCCATTAATCCTGTTGCATAGCTAGTTAGTCTAACCAGGTGCTTGGAAGATTTGTTTTTAGTAATTAATTGTTCGACAGAATCATTCAGCTGTATTAATCCTTACTTACCCATGTTAATGTTGATGTAGAATAAGAAGAGGGAGATCATTGGAGAGGCATGGGATTGGGTGTCCAAGGACCTTGCTCTTCAACTTCCCAGCAGGCTGCAAGCTGCTTACCTTTAGATGGTTCATATATGATATGCAGGTATTAATAAAGGTTCCTCTCCTCCACACTATGCAAGGTTTTTGTAAAGGCCAAAAGACATGCATATATGAATGTCCTTGGAGATTATATGATCAGGAATCTGTTTACTGTCTTGACATTTAAAACCCATAGAATTGCAAAAAACCAAAAAAAAAAAAAAATCATAAGCCTAGAATATTGCTTCTCTTAGACCTTAAGGCTATAGGCTTGTGCCTCTCTAGCTGTATGCCTCTTGATGGAAAGGGGCCATCTCCTTGTTTAAAAGACAGCACCATGTAGCCACCACAGACTTATTGGCTTGGTGAATTTCATGGACTTTGTTCCTCCAAGTGCCAGTTCAGGCTCCCAGCTTCTAGTCACATAAGTATCAATGTCATTCACGAGAAAGCACCTGGAAACCCCTAGTCCTTTGCAGCTATTGTTTGAAAACTCAGTGGCACACAGGTTTAGGCCCTCACCAACTCTCCTTCTTCCACCCGCTGTGCACAGTGGCTGTTGGAAATGACAGAGACCGAGTGAGTCCTGCCCAATGGGACGGCTTTCAGACTTCAGCTCAGCATTTGCCCTGAGAAGGAACTGGCTAAAGGAAGCCCTCCCGGTGCTAGGCATTGTTTTGCCTTAACAGTTCCATTCTCAGCATTAAACACCTCTCCAAATGGATTGGTTTTCTCCTTCCCTTTGTTTTTCTGTCCTTCCAAACATTGTGGAATAACTGAGCTGAACTGCAAAAAGTGAGCAATATGATGCTGAGTAATTTTATATTTCTGGGGGCAACCCCCTCCCTCCAGGGAAGGAAGCCAGCCCAGAGTTGGGTGTTCTGCTGATTTTTGTTTGAGGGATATAGTGAAGTCTATGAGCTATAAAACAGTGTAGAAATTTCTATTCTGAACATATTGCAAATGGCTTTTGTACACGGAGAAGCTGGGTCCCAGCTGAGTCCTGAGGTTATTATTGTAAGGTCATCTTTCCATTCTTTGTTTAGCATTACCATTCATCCCAAAGATGGAGGATACTTAAATACACCCACGAGAGGCATTCCTTCCTTCCTTCATAAGAATATAAATATTTTTGCAGTTTGTCTGGTTAACGTGGCTTTAAAGTCGTTCCAATCATTTCTCCCCCAGCACATGAAGTACCTGATTTGTTAGTATTGAAATGAAATATCATTTCTTACAGTGACATTTATGTTGGAACCACATTAAAGAACATAAGCTATTGCTTTCAAATAATTATTATTAATATGATATTTTCTCTTCTATTTTCCAGTCTATAGTTGGCTATTTAAAAAAAAAATTCCTGCTTTTGTTTCTTTGGGATATAGTCTCTTTTGCTAGGTTATATACTTAGAGTCATAATTTGCATTTAAGGTGGAAGTCCCACCCATGGAGAGATTTCCTTTAGCAATCGGGGACTGGTCCTAAGCTGTTGAGGCTGTTGAGGGGAAAAGCAAAAATGGAATGATGTATCCTTTGGGGGCACATTTCTTAGAGGCGTCCAGCCTGTGTGGACAGCTGCGTGCTTCACACTGAGTGCTCGCAATCTGGGGTCACCTACACGGTGTGTTCGCACATAAAAAGGCATAGGACGGCGCCCGTGGGCTGCTTGTGGCTTAGGAGAGTAATGTGAGTACCTCCCACCCAAGAAGGCTGTCGACGTGCCTCTTGGCAACGCTGTTCACTTGTGGGGCGGCCCAGTGGACCTTAGTCTTAGAGGAAGGACAGAGGCAGGTGACTCAGCTGAGGTTTCAATTCCCTGCCTGCAGCGGCCGCCTCGCATGTGGGTCCAGCAGCAATCTGTCCTTTCCGCCACCAACCTGTTTGAGTCTCAGAATGGCTCCCGATCCCTCCAAATGTCTTCATTGTGTCTAGATGAAACCCAACCCTTTATCATGACATGTAGGTCTTTTACAATCTCCTCATCCAGTGTTTAATTTTCAGTACCTAGCGTAATATAAAGCAGGTGTTAAAGATGTGCAACGACTGACGAGTGAGTGCATGAATGAGTGAGCAAATGGTGAACGGCGAATGGCGGTTTCCCCGGCAGAGTCGGCAGGGGGTGTCCTCTCAGCCCGTGGATAACAGAAAAGGAGAAGCCATCGCGGTCCAAGTGGGATGGAAGCCATTCTGAATGGAGCGTCGAAGGGTGGAATTGGACAATGCGTGGCTAAGAGAGGGAAATGCGTTAAGAGCGCAAGGCTGAGGCCTTGCACACGGGTCACTCTGTACGTGATTTGGGAGCATCCGATGGAGCCTTTCCCAGCGTAAGACGATTCCAGTCCAGGTGTGGAATCTCTCGTGGCCACACTCTAATAACAGATGATGATTAGGCAGAAAAGCTTCCCCAAGCACATGTGGGGGGTGTGGGGTGCTGCAGTCCACCTTCGAGACCCCTCTGCAGGGCCCCGGCGCTCGTTATCCCTGCGTCCATCGCCAGAAACTGTAGCCGACGGAAGCTGGCTTGCCAAAGCTGTGGGTCCTCGTGAGAACAGCCTGTAGCCAGTGGCTGCTCTCTGGGTGGGGGAGGGGGCACAGAGGCTTGGCTGCCTTTAGCCTCAGTTGGGCAAACTCCAAAAGGCTCTTCCGCGCGAGAGCTCTTTTTTTATAGAGTCAATTGGCTGGGGCCTGTGTTGCAATTGCATTGCGATTCAACCCCCTCCTCTGCCCAATTCTTTCTTCACCACTCACAGGTGTTGCAGCAAGCACACCCCAAAATCCTTCTGCAAAACAATATATAACAGTATTTAAATAGGCCTGGATTAGAGAATATAAATTATGGAACTAAACACTTAAGTTATTGAAGATGATTGGATAGGGATGAATTTTATAGAAGAAATGAACTTATCTGAACTCGGCCTTCAAGGCTCCCAGCATTGTCTCCTTCACACTCTGCTCATCTCAGGCTGTTTAGGGGACAAAGCCCCACAGAGAACCAGAGACTGGAGCTGGGTGCAGGGCCTCTTTCCCTGCTGCTGGGGTCCAGGAGGGAGGCTGGGTGGATTGTCTCCTGCAGCTGCCCTATCAGATACCACAAACTGGCTGCCTGAAGCACCGTCAGTTTATTCTCTCCCAGTTCTGGAAGCTAGAAGCCCAGAATCAAAGTATTAGCAATGCTGTGTTCTCTCTAAAGGCTTCAGGGAGAAGGATCAGTTTCATCTCTGTCTCTTGGCTTGTGGTATTACCAGAAATCCTTGGTGATCCTTGGCTTGTAGACTCATCCTCTCAGTCTCTTCCTTTGTCATCAGTGGCTTTGTCCACTGTGTGTCTTTGCTTCTGTGTCTCCTCTCCTCTCATCCCCGTTCCTCCTAAGAACACCATTCATAGTGGATTTAGGGCCCAGCTGGCTCCAGTAGGACATGATCTTCATTAACTACATCTGCAAAGACCCTGTTTCCAAAGAAGCTCACATTCCGAGGTGCTGGGAAGGACATGAATTTGGGGGACACACTATACAACCTAGTGTATTGGGTTAGGCAAGGAGGTACAGAATGTATAGACCCAGGAACCAAAGGGAGCTTTGTATTTCTGTCTTCACAGTGCCATGGCGTGAAGCCCTAAATAAATTATAAATAGGCCTTGTTTTCTGTTTAGCTCATGATCAAGAAAACAAAAATTTTGAGATTTTTCTTAGAATATCTGTGCTTTTAGGTCATTGACTTTATATTTTAAAAACTGTCCAATATCCCAATGCGAGTTCAAAGATTTGTGTGTGTGTGTGTGTGTGTGTTTGTTTTTAGCTCCTGGGATACCCTCAGATCAAGATTTCTTAAATTGCCTATAGAACAAAAGAGTCTAGGAATATATATAATTATATACAAA